CATATAACATATAGTACAGTAACACATAGTTATATAGTAACATATAATATATAGTACAGTAACATTTAGCTCCATCAGAAACACTACAACTATTTTAAAGTGATAAAATAAAAAAACAGCAGTAATTCATGGTAAAGATGCCAACTTACACCTCATGTTCTCCTTCAGACACCAGCAGAGGGCTGCAGACTCTCTGGAGTATTAAGGTAATATTTATTAGAAGAGTTTGTATGCTTGCTTTGTGTTAAAATATAATTATTTAAATTTGTTTTTGAACTCCTTTGTAGTTGTGGTGACTTTATGAGAAGAGACAGTCCAGATCCTATTCTGGCCTGCTGTGTGTGTTTGTTAGTAAAACATCTCATAAAGCACTGTTACGCATAAACTCATGCATTTTCACAAGATATCACTCTCAGGGTATGTGTTGTGAATGACTCTCAGCTTCTACCTCGCCAAATTTGAGCTCATTCTCTGTAAAACTTTTGTAGTTTTGCTTAAAATGACTCTAAAGGTGAATCAAATGTACAGCCAATCAATACTTTCTAGGAGTTTAGTTAAAATCCAGTAGTTCCTTACATATTTTGTTAACAGACAAACATGCACACAGGCAGTTATCACTAGTTGCCTTTCATGATGCACAATAATCATCATTTAAAAAGACTAAACAGCTGGACAGCTGTGATAAATCATCTGTAAGGACTCCTCTGTCTAAATGTTTTTGTAATTCAGATCATGCTGTCCACAGTTCTTCTGTAATCACACTGGCTGTTTTTATCTGAAACACTGGGGATTTTATTGGTTTTATACGTTTATCCCTAAACTTTTCAAAAAGTTTTCATCTGTCTGTCATGGTGGCATACTTGAAAATACACAAACACACACACGCAGATATAAATGTGTGTCCTCACAATTGTTTGCTGTAATTTTGTCCCGTTCCTCCTGACAGAACCGGTGCAACCGTCAGGTCTGTAGGAGGCCACCTTGTTTTGTTACGCATGCTTGCTTAGCCCCGCCCACATTTTTTCATTGGGAGTGAGATCAGGGCTTGGTGATGGTCATGCCAAAACATTGACTTTGTTGTCCTTAAACCACTTTGTAACTCGAGTCTTTGTCCATTTGAAGACCCATTTGTATTCAAGCTTTAACTAACTGAGATGTTGCGTCAGTATTTCCACGTTTATTTTCCTCGTGAGTCCACCTATTCTGTGAAGTGCACCAAACCCTCCTGCAGCAAAACACCCCCACAACATAATGCTGCCACCCCCATGCTGTACAGTTCGGATGGTGCAATCTTTCTTCTTTTTTCTCCAAAAGAACATTAAGGCTGAACAGTTCAGTTTTTAGTTTCATCAGACTGCAGGACGTGTCTTGAAAAATGGTAGTTGCAATTTTGCTTTTTCATGTTGCTTTCAGGGCACACTGTTTCACTGTAGATAATGACTCTGACCAGCTTCAGCCACATCTTCAGTTACATCTAACATCAGCCACATCTAACATCAGTTAGTGAGGATCCACAACCTCTCCTCCTCCACCATAACCCTCAGCACTGGCTCTCCTCAGGGATGTGTGTTGAGCCCCCTTCTGTTTACTCTGCTCACGTATGATTGTGCAGCTACCCATCCAGGCTGTCACATTGTAAAGTTTGCAGATGATACAGCGGTGGTGGGATGCATCACAAACAATGATGAGTCCAGCTACAGGCAAGAGGTGGAACACCTGGAGAGCTGGTGCAAAGAGAATAACCTTCACATCAATGTGAAGAAGACAAAGGAGATGATTGTGGACTTCAGAAGGAACAAAAACACCTACACCCCCCTGAACATAAGAGGATCTGCAGTGGAAGTGGTCTCCAGCTACAAGTACTTGGGTGTACACATGAATGACAACCTCAGCTGGAGCAACAACACCACCAGCCTGATCAAGAAAGCTCATCAGAGACTCTACTTCCTCAGACGGCTGAGGCGAGCTGGTCTGGGAAGCTCAGTCCTCACCTCCTTCTACAGGTGTGCAGTAGAGAGCATCCTGTGCTCGAGCATCAATGTGTGGCATGGAGGCTGCACAGCTGCAGAAAGAAAAGCTTTGCAGAGAGTGGTGAAGGCTGCACAGAAATCTGTTGGAATCAGTCTCCCCACCATCACAGACATCTACACCTCCAGATGCAGGAAGAGGGCCACCTGCATCATGAAGGACCCCACCCACCCAGCACACACACTTTTTGCCCCACTCCCCTCAGGAAGGAGGTTAAGGAGCATTAAGTGTAGAACCACTAGACTGAGGAACAGCTTCTACCCTGAGGCTGTTAGACTCATGAATCTCTAACTAGAATAATCACTGTGAAAAAACATATCATGTAGCTGCTGATCTGTTTCATGTTGCTGCTGATCTGTTTCAATGTTGATGTGTTCATGCGTGCACATCTGCTCACAGACTCATGTTCATGTTTGTGCTGATGTTTAATGTTTTTTGTTATGAGTGCTTAGTGTATATTTAGTTGATGTTTTTCTTAGTTCATATCTTAGATGTTATTACTGTTTTTCTTATACATTTTATTGTTGGATGTAACTGGGACCCTGTGTACATAATTTCGCTCCACCACATGTACCACATGAGGTGCGAATGACAATAAAGAAACTCTGACTCTGACTCTTATCTTCACCAAGTTTTTTTGCTTTTCTTCTGGGGTTGATACGTACATTTCACACAAACACATTCATCTCAGGAACAGAGAACACGTCTTCTTCCTGAGCGGTATGATGGCAGGACATTATCATGGTGTTTATACTTGTGTACAATTGTTTGAACAGATGAACCTTCTGCATCTGGATACTACCCAAGGATGAACCAGAGTTGTGGAGGTTGATGATTCTTTTTCTGATGTCTTTTTGAAGCAGAAAGTTTGAGTTGAAGGTTGAAGGACGGAGATAAAGTTAGAGAGACCAGACTGAGATGGTTTGGACTTGTCCAGAGGAGGGACAGTGGGTATATTGGTAGAAGGATGTTAGAAATGCAGCTGTCAGGAAAAAGACAAAGAGGAAATATATGGATTTAGTTAGAGAGCACATGGAGGTAGTTGGAGTGAGGACAGAGGATGCAGAGGACAGAGTGAGATGGAGGAGGATGACTCACTGTGGCAATGGATGAAGAGGGAACAGCTGAAAGAAGAAGTGGTCAACTACCCATCCATTATATTTTACCCGTTTCTTCATTTTTGGGTCAAGGGGGTCACTGCTCCCCATGTCCAGCAGTCACTGTGCGAGAGGCGGGGTACACCCTGGACGGGTCTCCAGTCCATCACAGGGACACATAGAGACAAATGAGACAAACAACCATTCACTCTCTCACTCACACCTAGGGACAATTTAGAGTTACCAATCAGTCTAACGTGCATGTTTTTGGTCTGTGGGAGGAAACTGGAGTACCTGGAGAAAACCCACACATGCACAGAGAGAACATGCAAACTCCACCCAGAAAGGCCCCCGGCCGGAAAATGACCTGGCGTCCTGCTCACTGAGAGTCGGCAGCTCTACCAGTTGTGCTACCAAAGGCCTGTGGTCAACTAACTAATCAAAAGTTTTCAAAGCCATTACGTCCTCATGGGATTTCCCATAGTCCTATCAGTGTATGCAAACTTGTGACTTTCTAATAAAGATGATTTTCATTTAAAACTGGCATGAACGGCAGCGGGTGATAAACATTCCTTCAATAAATGCCGGGTGTTTCATTTTCTTCTGTTTGGGAGGGAGTGGTGGCACAGAGGTTAGAGAAGGTGGGCCTGTCACTGGTTCAACTCCAAAAACTGACAACATCAAAATGTGGGTGGTATAGACGAAGCACCCACACCTTCGTCCACTCTCATTTGCCCCACCCTGGGCCCTTGAGCAAGGTCCTTAACCCCCACCATCTGCTTCCCCGATACCCTAGGTATCAGCTCTCTGCTCCACACAGAGGGCTGTGGTAGCTCTGTGCTCTGTGGTTGTGTCAGGAAGGACATCTGGTCTAAAAACAGTTCCCAAGTCTTCGTGCAACTCAGTTCGCTGTGGTGACCCCTGAAGAAGAGAGCAGCTGAAAGATGAAGAAGTTTCATTTTCTTCTGTTTCTGTTGTCAGCCTGGTGACATGATCATCTCTCTGCCCGAGTCTTGTCTTCTCACCACAACCACCGTCCTGAACAGCTACCTGGGGCCATTTATCAAGAGGTAAACCTGCAGAGCAGTAGTGTAGGCTACATTTTTGTAGTGGGTATATTATGCTTAAAAACCAATGTACACTGATTACTACAATGCAATTGTCAATTTATTTTGTTTTTGAAGCATATTGAATATTTCCCAAATTTCTCTGATGCTTAAATTGAATAAATGCAAAACAAACTTTGTAAAATTTTTGACTTTGTATTAAAAACATGTTATAGAATTTATAAAACAGTATCAAAGCAAAACATGTTCAAGTATGAAGTAGTAAGTACAGGATTATACAGAAATTTGCTGGATAAGTAAATGTAACAAGTGCTGCATACAGAGATAGATTGTTACAGCAGCATTTAACTGCTGTTTTAACATATCAAAGGCACGTGCCTAATGATATGTCATGTATCACTGGGTGCTTTTAAGTGGGTATACTGAAATTTTTTAGCTTTTCTAGTGGGTATACTCCGTATTCCCGCGTATCGCGTAGACTACACCACTGCTGCAGAGCACAGTTTACATAACACTCTTTTTACGCTTGTTGAAAGGTGGACGTGGTGTCATCTATGTCTGTATGTCTAAATGTCTCTTGTCCCGCCCATAACTTCTGATCCGCTCAAGATAATTTATTAAAACTTCACACACATCATCAGTAGACATTGTCTTGTACACTTTTCATCATCTCAGCTCCAAGGTCAAAGTCACACATTAAGGTCAAAACGTAGACACGGTCGCTGATGGTCTGGCCCATTGCTATAGATTGCTGCATAATTTTCAACGAGCATATAATGTGTGTACTCTTGTTCAGGGTTGTATTTAGAGATTATTGGCGTCTTATGTCTTTTTTCTTCCTCCTGCAGCTGGAGGTGCCGTCTGTCACCCCTCCTGGTGCTCTGTGTCTTCCTGGTGTGCGAGCGGCACCGAGGGGAAGCTTCTGATTGGTTCCCTTACATAAGCGTGCTGCCCAACACGTACACCTGCCCTGTTTATTTCTCAGACGACGTTGTAGATGTTCTGCCAGCTGCTGTGAGGAGGCGAGCCGAGGAACAGAAGGAGGCGGTGCGTCACATGCACTCGTCCAATTGGGACTTCTTCAGGTACGTTCAGCGGAGACCTGGTCCAGAGCAGGTTAGCACGTGGTAACTGGTCAGCTGAAGTTACATGGAAGTGAACAGAAGCAGCTGTTATCACCCACAGCTGAAGGAGCATGTACTGTACCAGTAACTTAAACAGCATGACAAAGTCTGAGCTGTGTGTTTGTTTGGTTCAGGTCCCTGCAACTGGTTCTGAGCCAGCCCGTCGAGGATGTCTTCACCTACGAGGCCTTCAGGTACACGAGCACGTAGAAATGTCTCTTGTCAGTCAGATGTTATGTTGTTTATTTGTCATATGCAGATTAAAACAAGGTAAACGATTCTGTGAAATGTTCAGGATGAGAAGAACCGATTTGACTCACAAAAAAAAAGGAAAAGTTGGTTGTAAGCTCAATCAACCAGGTAGATAACAAAACAGGTTGAATTGTGTCATCTGGACCAGTTTCTTTAACTGGTTCCTTCCCCAGAAAATTTGGAATAAAATAGATGCCATTTCCTGCATTTTGGTCAATCATGACTGACTGTGGATATTTCACACTGGACCTCAGGCAGTGTGGGTTTTGTTCCTCACCCTTCTTCCTCCAAACCCTTGGACCTTGATTTCTGAATGAAAGCCACACTTTACTTTCATCGGAAAAGAGGACAGAGGAACCAGACAGTTGTAGTCCATCTCCCAGATGTGTTTGAATGTGGTTTCTGAAGCTGTGACTCCCGCCTCATTCCACTCTTTCTGGATCTCTGCCAGATTCTGGAATCTTCTCTGATAATCCGCTGAATTCTAGAATTGTGCCGCTCAAGGTGGCTGCATGTTGGAGCAGCTCTGTTACTTTCATTCTGAGATTTTGCTTTTGGAAACTTTAATTCCTCTTTTTCTGGATGTAAATCACAATTTTTTGATGATTGTTTCCTCTGGTATTGGATGATGTGCAGCTGGAAGGATTTTTACTGAAACTTTTTTTAGTTTTGGACATTTGTTATGATGCGTAACCATGGCAACAAGGCACTTTTCTACAACCAACAGCAGCTGATTAACATCTTAAAAGCTCAAATAATATCTCAACTACAGCCCCAAATCTCAAATGAGTTGAAAAGGATGTTCTGTGGACGCATTCTCATCTACCTGCCAGCTGTGCTCGAGTGTCTGACCACTGAGATCCTGGAACTAGCAGGAAACATGGCTCATGACAGCGGAAGGACAGGATCGTCCCTCTGCACCTACAGTTGGCCGTCTGCAGCGACGAGGAGCTCGGCAGACTGCTGGGAGGAGTGACCATCACTCTGGGAGGAGTTCTGCCCGGCATTTGGGCGGTTCTACAGCCCGAGGGGAACCGAGAGGCCAGCCAAGTCTGGGTGGACGGATCGGACGGCATCTGCAGCCAGTTTCTTAGGATCCACTGTGGGATGGACCTTACAAGAGCTCCTTCCTGCTACAGCCATCAGTATCTATAACATCTCTTAATGAAATGAGGATAACGAGTTACAACAAATAATTTCCCTCTGGGATTAATAAAGTATTTTTGAATTTGAATTGAATTGAATTTGAATTTGAAGCCCACGGTCATCTCTTTTGCTGGTGCATCTTCTCCTGCCACATTTTGTCCTTCCACTAGACTTTCCATTGATATGTTGGACACAGCACTCTGTGAACAGCCAGCCTCCTTAGTTATGAACTTTTGTGGCTTACCCATCCTATGGAGGGTATCAATGATGGTCTTCTGGCCAGTTATGTCTGCAGTCTTCCCCATATTGAACCGAACTGAGACAATTGAACCAAACTGAAGCAATTTAATGACACCTGGGGAAACCTGTGCAGGTGCTTTGAGTTTAGTAGATGATTAGTGTGTCACACTCAGTTTAAAACATTCATGTCTGCAACATTTGGGCTGATGTCTCCACAGTATTCTAATTTTTTTAAATCCTGTTTTTGTGGGTTTCATGAGCTGGAAACCCAAATTATGTAAAAATAAACAAATAAATACTAGAAATTGTCTAAATTGTTGGCCCTGAATTTTCGTGCACGATGGGTCATGTCGAGACACGTCTTCATGTCACAGTGATGAGTTAACAAGAGGCGTTAAAGGCTCGGCCTTCATTAGTGGAATGCCTATCGCCCGCTGCCGTTCGCACCAGTTTTAAAGTCAAATCATCTTTTATTGTGAAACGATGCAGTCACAGCCGTATTAGTCAAACATGCAGAAAAACCTTTTTGTACTTGGTCCAGCTAGAGAACACAGTATGTTGAGGATGACTCTCAGCTACTACCACAACAAACTTTAGCTTAATATCTGTAACACTGACTGAATTATAGTTATTTTTGTGTTTGCTGCATTTGATTAGCTGTGGCGTCCATCTTTGTATTGATCTATATTAAAGATGGTTTAGTTGATTGCTAACTAGGAGTGTTTTTTAATCTGTCCAGTGGCTCATCAGATATTTTGCTAACAGACAGAGAAACAAATACACAGGCTAAAACATTATCACCCACCTTTTAGGCGACAGGCACCACGATTGTGTGTTAAAGTGTTCCTTTCCTCCCTCAGGTGGGCGTGGTGCAGTGTGAACACTCGCTCTGTCTTCATGTCTCACCCGTCCAACCACTTCCTGTCTGGACAAGACAATTATGCTTTAGCTCCGTTTCTTGACCTCCTGAACCACCAGCCCAGTGTGCAGGTAAACCTCGTGCTTTTATCCAAGTAACTTGTTCAGATGGAGACAGGCGGTCCAAAATCCTCCTCCTGAATGTGTCCCTGCAGGTGAAAGCGAGTTTCAACGATCAGACGAGATGTTATGAAATAAGAAGTGTCTCCGGGACGAAGCGCTACCGGCAGGCGTTCATTAACTACGGTTGCCACGACAACCAGCGCCTGCTGTTGGAGTACGGCTTTGTCTCCACCGACAATCCTCACAGCGTTGTCTACGTGGAGACAGGTACACCTTGAAGGAAGCATGTCGCCCGCTGCCGTTGATGCCCGAGTTTGAACTAAAATGTTGTTACGCTGAAAAGAGACAGAGTTGTTGCTGTTTATTAAAACCATGAACATGACACGAGTGATGTCATGCAGTTATGTGAGATCTGAGAAGAAGTGTGAGTGCTCAGAGTAGGTGATGAGGATGACTCTCAGCTACTGCCATACCAGATTTTATATCAATATCTAAATTTGTTGTTTTTCTGTTGGCTAAAAGTTAGCGGTCTTGATTTGAATGACTCCAAAAGTTAAATCAGTTATAAATGGACATCAGTGATTACTTTCTAAACAGTTTAAACAAAACTCAGAGTGGTTATGAGTTATTTTGCTAACAGGGTTGATGCCAACTAGGGCTTTAACAGACTACTCGAGTAATCTACACATAGATTCCAAGGACATCTATCGAGTGTTTTTATTTCACGTCGAGTATTCATAGTGACGTCATTACGTCACTGTTACGTCATTTCATCACGTGATCCGTACCGGGCGCGGGTTACAAAATGTATTCCTCCAAGCAGACGGATGGAGCGGAGCAGGCCCAGACTTGACAAACAGGTAGAAATGCATCAATAGTCTGGAAATATTTCACTAAAGATGAATCTTATGGTTCAACTACCGTAAGGAAACAGAAAATGAATCAACTTCCTGACTGTTTGGAGCTTGTTGCGAACCGGTGTTACACCATATTCTGTGACCACCGTATATTGTGACTGTAGGGGGCGGTGTTGCATGCACTGTTGCAGGTCACAGAATATGGTGCAACACTGGGTCCAATCGACCGAACCAGAACCAGCTTCCTCTGACCTTGTTTCACAAACAGAAAGCCAAAAATATTCATCTCTAAACCTATTTAAAAAAAATTATAAACATATTAATCTCTAAAACTAAACCTAATGCGCACCACAGCTGGCGGTGGTGCGGGGTGGTCGTCTGCTCCACTGTTTTTAGTTTTATTTTTGACGTGCTGCACGTTTCTTTCACTTTTGCAGCTTAATAATAAAAACTAATAGTTTAGCTTTTCCTGTGACTTATTTGCAGTATGATAAATTATAGAAGCATAATATATGCTCCCAATGTTTTGTTAGTCTTTTTTTGTAAATAGTGACCTTTTTTGTGGTTTTATTTATTTTTGTATATTTAGCTCCTATGATGTCATCAAGTACTCGAGTTCTGTTAATGTCGAGTTTAAAAATTATGAAGTCGTTCAACCCCTAATGCCAACAAAGATTTTCTGCAACATTGTGTAGTGCTCAGAGGATGTATTTCTGCCGATGCTCTGCTACTGCAACACCAAATTTTAGCTCAGTATCTGTACTTGTCAAGGACATTTTTGTGTTTGCTAAAGTTTCTTAGCTGTGGTGGCCATCTTGAAAACATAACTGCCCCTTTTCTTTGGTAGCAGCTTTGTATTTTAAACATCAGAGCTTTAGGTAAACATGTCATTCAAACTCGAACATAAAAGGCCGTGACAGTAAATGTTTCAAACCTACACCCACTTATGTTTTATATATATATATATA